ATGTGTGTCCTCTTAAGTCCTAGTCTGATACTCTGAGCAATTAATGCTCTCTGAATGCTTCTGGGTTGCAACTCCCATAATTTGTCACCATTGCTTGTACTGGAAAGGGCTGATGAGAATTCATCCAACAAAATCTGGAGGACACGGTTGCCCATCTTGTGCAAACCACAACATCATATTATGTTCCCTCATGAATTCTATATAATAAGTCTTTGGAACTTTCTCCACACCCATATCCTTTGGTGTGCAAGTACACATAAACACACCTCCCATTTGAGTCAGCAGTTCTGGTTTTCTTCTGTGCTGGACAGGCTCCAAGTCCTCCCCTGGAATTTAAAGTTTCTGGCAGCAAACCTATGTCTGCCATGCTGCCTTTTGGAAACTCATCATCTAACTGCATGTGGAGGTAATGCTTGAGAAACAGGATTGCACACGGAGGTCAATCAAAAGAACTTAGTAATGGAGGCCACAAAACATACGTCATCGCAAAGTCTTTTCTTTCTTTTGTGTTCTTGCTCCTTCCTCCCTCCCTCCCTCTCAGCCTAGACCTTGCTTGAAGCAGTGGTGCTGGGTGCATGTATATGCGCACACGTGGGATGCAGTTGTTACACATTCACACTTCGAAGTTTACTTTGTAGAGAAAATCTCACTTGTGGACAGGGGCCAGCTCCCAGGCTATGGAAAGCTCTCCCGGGAGACCAGGATGGCCCCTTCCTTTTTATCCTTTCGAAAAAAGCTAAAGATTCATCTCTTCAGGCAGGCTTTTAACAATTATAACTGAATCCGTGAACCCCATTTTAGCAGATAATTTTAATCTTTTTCATGTTTTAATCTTGTTGTTTAATTTGTCTTTTAATGTTTAACGTATTCTGTTTTCAACTGTGTGAATTTTAATGTTGTGAGCCGCTTTGGGTCCCTTGTTGGGAGAAATGCAGCGTATAAATAAAACTAACAACAACAACAACAACAACAACAACAACAACAACAACAACAACAACAACAACAACAACAACAACAACAACAACATGGACAGTTTTATCGATTTGGCTCTCCTTTTTGTTTAGTACACAACTGGAATCTGCAGCCTTTTAAATGTTGACAAAATCTTGCTTCTACTTCAGTTCCCAATTGGTCAGAGCAGATGAAAATCGAACATCAGCTACATCTGGATAGTCAACAAGTGCCAGTCACGTGTCTGCAAGTTGAGTCATGGCAACTGAAGAAGCTATTTGGATGAGTAGCAAAACATTTCAACCTAATAAGAAAGAAGTCCAGTTGCCATGACCCAATTTCCAAATAACCTCACCTGGATGACTGAGAATCTTCACATGGTTAAACAACACATGGTTAAACAACTTGTCATATCTGTGAAGACCCTGTTAGCCAGCTGAATCTGTTATGAAGATGAGAAGGGTCTCCACCAAATATTTTAGTAATAAAGTATAGGATCAACTCCATGTTTAATGTTGCTCTGGGTGAAAGATCTAGTTAGTTCCCTCTTGCCTGTTGATTACATTGTTTATGGCTTATGTGACAGTGATTATTGGTACCAGCAGAACTCTGAACAGTTTTGGGTGCCCCAAGATGGACTTTTTAGGAATCCTGTGATGCCCCAAGGATTCCTCATCTTGAAGGGAAATTGAAATGCCAATCAATCCCATTTACTGAGTGCTGCTCAGAGCATAACAGCAGTTTTTAAGGGCTAGAACCCGACATGGCAGGTGCCCCCTGAAATCTGGAAGATGTTGGCACACATTCTATCTTTGCAGGGTTTTTATGGTACCAGGCAGCTCTTCAGATAACTTGGGATGTTAAAACGTTAGGGGTCCATAAATGGGGTAAGAATTGTGAAAACGTATTTATACATAGATATTTGCCGTTGCAGCATCGAGTGGTGCCCCACATAACGACAATAATCTGTTCCGAAAAAATCGTCGCTATACGGATTTGTTGCTATGCGGGGCAAAAAAACCCATAGGAACACATTAAAACACGTTTAATGCGTTCCTATGGGGGAAAAACTCACCGTTCTGTGGAAGTCCTCCATGCGGCCACCATTTTCGCTGCCCGGTAAGTGAGGAAAAGGCGTGAAAACACAGGGGACGGCCATTTTCTTTACCCGGCGGCCATTTTGGAACACCGATCAGCTGTTCCAAAAACATCATTATGCAATAATCGGTAAGCGAAATGCTTACCGATCATCGCAAAGTGATGTTTTACCATCTAAAACATCATTATCCGATTGCTTTTGCGATCACAAAAACTCAATCGCTATGCGGATTCGTCGTTAAACGAAGCGCTCGTTATGCGGGGCACCACTGTAATTCACTTTCACTAGTTGAACTTGTGATTGCCTAGAAAGCCATTCAGAGTAATGTGGCTTATTGGCTAATGTCTACTCCTTGGCTCCAAGTTCAGAAACAAATTAATGATGAATTGTTCTTGATAACTTTATCATATTAATATAACAGAAATACTCGATACAGTAAATAGTTTAATTATTGCTTCTTGGATGATGTGAGTTTGGTGCCAGAAGCTGAGTGGAGAATTCTTTTTCATGTTGTTTGCATACCGTTTGGTACACCTGGTGACTCCCCTTTCTTTCTTTTCATATTAACTGTCAGCAAGACCTAAATAAAATAATCTTAAGACAACTTAACCAACCATCTACCTATGTATGGAATGATATTTCCTTAGCCCTGTTTGGAAAGACCTCTTAGGTGTCTCTGTGGATTGTGTGTAAGGCCAGTTATGTATTTCTATTGGGAGTTGCTGCAGGAATTTTGTCCATCCTCTCCCATCAGGGCAAGGTTCCTTGACATGAAGTCGAGATGAACAAATTGCTCCCTTCCAAATGTTTCTGATCCACAGCTTATAGTATTGGTCAGTAAGGAATATGTTGGATAGGTCTGTTGGGAATTACAGTCCCCAAAACATTTGGATAGCACAAATATCCACCTTTGCTCTGTTTGTCTTTCTGACAGTCTTCTTTTGAGCACCACCTTGTATGTACTCCAACAGTAGAGAATTTATGGCCCTCCAGGTATTTTGTTACTCATTTAACTACAATAAGAAAAAGTCATTGCCAGGAATACTGCTGTTAGAAGAAGGCATTTTCTCTTGGTGCCAATTACAGGTGTCTAAATTGAATAAGAACTGCAAAGCATTTTTCAGCTATGAAATTGGCATTGAAATGTGACTATGTTAAATATGTTCAAGTTAAATATGACCTAAATAGTATGTCTGCTTGCAATAATTATGTATATTTCTCTTAAAATTGAATTATTATATAATTGTAAATACTTTATTTCCAGGCTCTTATTCTTAAAAATTAAACAGAATAAACTACAGTCCTGCTTCACTGACTAGTGTTTTTTTAAAAGGGAAAGACAAGCCAAGTTACCTGTTGCTATTTTGCTGCTGGCACTTCAGGATTAGGCATGTAGGTAGCTAAAATAGCTGGAACTCTTTGAAATTCAGCATCTCAGGAGCCCTCTAAATTGACAGACAAGAATTTACTGTACTGTAAACAGAAGTTGTCTAATTTCAAGACTTGTGATGGATGAAAGGGAGCATCATTGACCTCATTTCACTTTGTTAGGCTTTGCAGCCAAACAGAGTTCTGGAAGATAAGACTCGGAGGTAATATCTCAGACCTTCAGGGAGAGCACACTTCTTTGGAGGTGTATGTCCTTCTTTTTACTTGAAACAAACAAACAAGCAACTCCTTTTTAACAGTCATATTGAAAGGAGAAATGCTTATTGAAGTCCTCTGTTTGAGGTTGTTCCAGGGTTTTGCTTCAATTGATTGATTGATTGATTGATTGATTGATTGATTGATTGATTGATTGATTGATTGATTGATTGATTGCACTTATACGCCGCCCATCTAGACATTGTCTACTCTGGGCGGCTCACAACAGGCAAGATAAAAACAGTTAATATATAATAACAGTTTTACAGCAATATACAATGATCACAATAGTTCAAGATGGGAGGGAAAATAAATTAAGTAAATAAATGCATTAAAACAGGCTTTTCCAGTGCTGTGGCATCTTGATATGTTGGGCTCCCATTCCCATCATAACTGGCCATCATAGTATGTGATTAGGCTGTCTTGAGATGATGCTGGTTGTAGACACATCTAGCGATGGGAGTATTCGTATATGAATGAGGGCCCGCCCCCCTGGGGCCCAACCATCCACTGCAGCCACCAACTCCGCTCTCCTTCCAGTCGCTCCAGAGCTCATGGCCAGCTATCCACTCATCAGCTTGGCAGGGAAACTCATCTTCCTTCCTTCTGCCAAGAGTGGATAGTCGACCACAAGCTCCGGAGCAAGTAAAAGGGAGAGCAGAGCCGGATTTCTAACCATCCACTCACGCAGCGGATGCGTGAGTGGATGGTTACGTCCAGCTTTGTGGGGGTAGAGCAAGTAAAAGGGAGAGCAGAGCCGGATTTCTAACCATCCACTCACGCAGCGGATGTGTGAGTGGATGGTTACGTTCAGCTTTGTGGGGGTATTCGTATACAAATACCCCCATCTCAAGGACAGTCCAGGGCTTTAGACAGGGGCTTTCTCAGTCCCATCTTGAGTTGCCAAATACTGAACCTGGCATCTTATATATAAAAAACCTTTGTGCTGGGTTATTGGTATGTTATCCACCTTGACTCAGGAACTACATTTTTTTCTAAATTTTTATGAGGAAAAATGATGGGAAGCCTTTGAACTTTCAGATATTTATGAGGTACTGCAACTGCAGTGCTGCCCAACTGATGTCTGCACTGGATAGGGATGATGGGATGTGTAATCAAAAACATTTGTACTTCAAAATGTTCTAGAACATTTTTTTCCAATCAAGTTGCCTTCCAAATTTTTGGGCTATATTTCCTGGCCATTAGCCATACAACATGGGTGAATGAGTTAATTAACATGTTTCCTTTTTCTATTTGGCTTTTAAATAGCTATTCATTTATTTGTTTGTTTTATTTTATTTTTCAGAATCAACCCCATAATCCTTACAAAGGCTTGGAAACTCAGGTAAACACTTTTTTTCAGACATTTTCTTTTTTCTTAAAAAAAAAAGCAAAACAAGTTGCAGGAAATTCTGGTCAACCTTTCCCGTGTAAGCCACTGAAAGTAAATTTTGCCTGTTGTTACATCTTGACTGCGCAGAGTTGAAAAGTGTACATTTTGTCAGATTGGAGGATGTCATTTCCACCTTGGAGGCAAAGCAAACTATTTATACCTCTCTATCCTGAATCTCTTTTTGCTCATCTCCCCAGACAGATGGTCTGATCCGGAAGAAAACAGTTGTGTGTTTTTGCAGGCTTCTTCCTAAAATATGAAAAATGCACGGCATGTCAGACATGGCTGTCACTTAAAAGGTCACTGCATTTGGGAGAGGATTTGACTAATTCACCAAGAGAGATTTGATTCATGTCCCTTTCTCTTTTTGATTTCATTTGCAGTAGGGAGGGGGCAATTTAATTTAGTTTAACTTTGTTGCTGGGAGATAAGAAAATGGCAGAAATTTTCCGCTCAGGCATTTCTGATATCTCTGAAACTTATGATAAACATTTCTACATTATAGGAGGGTTTCTCAAGATTTAAGGCATTTGCTTATTTGTGGATCTCTGCCCTCATGCAATTTCTTTCCTGCTTATGAAACCACGGCTGTTATTACGAGCTCAGTATTAGTGGCAACTAGAGCTTGAATCAAGATTCCTGCTAAGCTGAGTGTGCACACAAGACACTGCTTCCCTCTGCGCACTCTTCCTTCTCTGCACAGCGATTGTGTTAGGTTCCGGTTGTGACTTACCCAGCATGCGGGGGCTGGAGTCGCGCGTGCATGCAGGGCTGACGCGGCAAGTGCGAGAGGCGCAGCCCTGCCCAGTGGGGCTGAAAATTAGAGGGTACATTGGTTTGGATTCTGTAGTTCACAAAGCCTGCAGCAAACCTTTCCTTCATCCTTTATGTATATGTAATGTGTGCATGTGTGTGTTTGTTTGAATGGCACTTTGTGGATGAGGTTTAATTTGGTGGCCTCAGAGCCTTTTGGTTGCCGGTTATGTCCAGAAGGTTCAAAGAGTTAATGCCTTGGGTAGTTTGGCCTAGCATCGCTTTTCCAGGCTGGCCCAAGATCTTTTGCTGCCTGAGATACATCAGCAAATGTCACCCCTTCCCTCTTTCTTGCCAATAATAATTTACACAGCCAATGAAGTAATTTCAGCAGCTGAGGCAGAGCATTCAATAAACGCTGTTCTTCATCTCCCTGGCCTTAAAAATACAGTAACTGAAAAGGTAACAAATAATCTTGCTTCCTTTTCATAACATCTAAAATAAGCTGCCTGAGGTACCCGACTTTAGTTCTCTGAAATGCTGGTCCTTTTGCCCTCACTGTGCTGTAGGCACTTATAGGTATATAAGCAGCACACTTTGCTTTTGCCTTGCTCACTGCTCAGGGACCACAGCAGATGCCTTTAGCTGAAGATTGGGAATATGGGTTTCTTAAGCATCTTGGGAAACCAAAGCAGAATGTAACCACACATATCTGCTGGATTTTTAAAAAGGTGATTTTAAGTAACCTCAGAAGCAGGATGAGTAAGATCCCATGGCAGGAGATCCTAACAAGAAAAGGAATCCAAGAAGGGTGGGAGTTTCTTTAAAAAGAAATGCTAAAAGCACAGCTACAAACAATTCCAACAAGAAAAAAGGTGAGAGGCAGCAAAAAAGGCCAGTGTGGTTTCACAAAAAGCTCAGGGAGGACCTGGAAACAAACAAGCAAAAACAAAAAAGGCATAGGAAATGGAAAGAAGGCCAGGTCACCAAGAAAGAGTACAGCCAAATAGCAAGGCAATGCAGGGATGGCATTAGGAGAGCAAAAGCTGAGAATGAGCTGAGATTAGCTAGAGACAATAAAAGCAATAAAAAGCATTCTTCATGTATGTGTGAAGCAAGACAAAGAAAAGAAATAGCTACTCAATGGAAATGGAAAAATGATAGATGACAAAGAAAAAGCAGAGGTGCTCAATTCCTATTTTAGTTCCATAGCTATTCCTATTTTTAACCATAAGACAAACAAATGTCCAGCCGCCCCGAGTAGATGTAGTCTAGAGGGGCGGGGTAAAAAATGAATGAATGAATGAATGAATGAATGAATGAATGAATGAATGAATGAATGAATAAATAAATAAATAAATAAATAAATGTGACGTGCAAGTAGAGGGGACAAGAAAGTAATAAATAGTAAGGAATACCTTACTATCTTGAACAAGTTCTAATCTCCAAGACTGGTTGAACTGCATCTGAGAGTGCTCAAAGGACTCTCAGAATGGCTGCCCATTATTTTCTTGACATCATGGGAAATGGGTGAGGTGTCAGATGATTGGCTAATGTCATACCTATCTTCAAAAAGGGAAAAAAGGAGGAACCTGGGAACTACAGGCCAGTCAGCCTGACGTCAATCCCAAGGAAAATTCTGGAACAAATTATAGAACAGTCACTATTTCAAAAGAAACAAAAGCAGAATGTAGATACATGTAACTACTACTCATTTATACATTAGACTTTAGGAAAGCCAATTTTAATAAATACAATATAATGGTAGATAAGGTCCCATGGCAAGAAATCCTAACAGGAAAAGGTGTCCAAGATGGGTGGGAGTATATCTTTAAAAAACAATGAGAGAGAGACAGAGATTCTAAAGGCACAACTAGAAGCAATTCCAACAAGAAAAAAGGCAGAAACCAGGGAAGAAAGAACAATGTGGCTTTACAAAAAGCTTAGAGAGGACCTGGAAACAACAACAAAAAGGACACGTATAGGAAGTGGAAAGAAGGCCAGGCTACAAAGGAAGAGTATGGACAAGCAGCGAAGAATTGCAGGAATTGTGTTAGGAAGGCAGAAGCTCAGAATGAGCTGATGTTAGCAAGAGATGCTAAAAGCAACAGAAAAGCATTTTTCAGGTACATGTATAGCAAAAGACTGAGAAAAAAGGGGGGCTCAGTTACTCACTGGGAATAGGAAAATGATAGCAGATGACAAAGAAAAGACAAAAGTACTCAATTCCTACTTCACCTTGGTCTTCTCCCAAATGACAGTGGATGCTTCTCCAGGCAAATGTGATATACAAAGGGAAGATATGAGATTGCAGCTTTAGATGGATAAACAAAAAGTCAAGAGATACCTTACTACTTTAAATGAATTAAAATCCCCAGGGCCAGTTGAACTCTATCCAAAGATACTGAAGGAACTGGCTGAAGAACTTTCAGAACAACTACAGTGGTGCCTCGCTTAACGACGATAATCCGTTCCAGGAAAATCGCTGTTAAGTGAAAACATTGTAAAGCGAAAATAAAAACCCAATTGAAACCCATTCAATGTGTTCCAATGGGGTAAATACTCACTGTCCAGCAAAGATCCTCCATACGGCAGCCATTTTCGCTGCCTGTATAGGCACAGCGGGGAGCCATTTTAATTACCCAGCAGCCATTTTGAATCCACTGATCAGCTATTTAAAAAACATCATTTTGTGAAGAATCGGTTCCCAAAGCAGGGAACCGATCATCACAAAGTGAAATTCCCCCATTTAGACCATTGTTTTGCGATCGCAAAAAGATTGTCGTAAAGTGGATTTGTCATAACGTGGGGCAATCGTAAAGCGAGGCACCACTGTATCCATTATTTTCTTGAAATCAAGGGAATTGAGCGAGGTGCCAGATCATTGAAGGAGGGCTAATGTTATCCCAGTCTTCAAAAAGATCAAAAAGGAGAAACAGGGGAACTGCAAATCGGTCAGCCTGACATCAATCCCAGGGAAAATTCTGGAGCAGATTTTAAAGTAGTGACTCTGCCAGCATCTAGAAAACAATGCAGTAATAACTAGAAGCCAACATAAATTTGTCAGGAACAAATCTAATCCTGCCAGACTAATCTTATCTCATTTTTGATAGGGGAACTCCTGGTAGATGGTAAGAATGGTGTAGATATAATACATCTTGAATTCAGCAATACTTTTGACAAAGTGCCAACGATATTCTGATTAGCAAGCTAACTAGGTTCGGGCTGAATGGAACGGTTGACTGTTGGTGTGCACTCTGTGTTTTGCAGAATCATTGGGAATATGTCAGAGGACACAGGGAAGTATTTTAACAATGTGTTAGCTATTTGTGTGTTTTTTTAAAGGTAAAATAGTGACTATATAATATCCATATTGATTCCAGATATCCCAAAATTCTGGATTTTTAGAATTCCAAATGCAAAGAGCTGTAATTCCTAAATGAAATTCAAAATTGGAATTTTTGTGCTAGTGTACATGCCTCTTGAAATCAATTTATAACAGCTATGTGATAATACTATTTCAAAATCAACAACCCAGAAGCATAAAACAAAATTAATTTTAGTGATAAAACATGGGAGGTGCTCGAGACATTGTTGACTCTCACAGAGCCTTAAGAGAGTTACCATACCTTTTTTCGATCACAGTTGCCAGAAACCCAGTTTTGCCATGTTGGCTGGGGGCCTGCATATATTTGCATCTTTGTTGGGGTGGGATTACTTATTTTTGAATAGTGCTAGTCCAAGTATTTTTTGCTGCCTGAGGCAAAGAGCAAGATGGCATTCTATGTTGAAAAGTCAGGTGAGCTGTCAGCTGAATCTTACGTGAACATTGGCAATAGGATGGATTCTTCAACTGCACCAGGCACCTACAGGCTGGTTTTAGGCAAAGCTTACAATGTTGCATATTAAAAGGAACTTTTTGTGTTTCTCATTACTTCTTGGCTGCCAGATTCTCTTTCACTTTGCTCCAGTTGCATACGTAATTACTTTGTGTTGCTTGTTACCCAAGCATTGCATTGTCATTGCCAACCGATGGATTTTATAGCAGCCAGTTCTAATATTGCACTTTGCAAATATTGCTAAAAATACAGAAGACAAAACCAAAGATTCCTGCCACTTAGGATTGATAAGAGAATGACATAAAACCTGAACAACCTCTGCAAAAAAAAAAAACCTCTGGCCTTACAAAGTAAATTTTG